TCCCTAGTCTCTTCTTTTTCACTCCTTAGTCATGAAGTAAGTGATTTTGTCACATATTTCATGCAATTTTATGATATTTTTTGCCACAGTCCCAAAGGCAATGGGGCCAATCAATTGTAGACTGAACCCTCTAACAGTCTGAACCAGAATAAACCTTTTAATAAGTTAATTATCTCAGGTATTTGTGACAGTAACAGATAAATGACTAACATATTTTTTATCCCTAATTCAGTGATGAAGGAACCAATGCCTACAAAAGTAGTCTGCTCAAGTCCCATAATAAATGAGCACCCAGATGAAGATTCGCGTTCTAGCTGTGTCGCTCCTGCAACTACTGAACACATGGTGGATGGTACCTAGTAAGCACGCTCAGTGTTCTCTCTTATTAGAAAATAAGACCCAGACCTAGGAGGATAGAGGACCCAGGATGTGCTGTGAGGCTAGAAGGAGGCCCAGGGGACTTTGGGGACAAGCAGACCTGGGGACCAGAAGAAGAACTGTGCTATAGTTTTGTGATTTTAAGAAAATCACTTTCTTTCATAAACACTTTCTTCTTCACTCCTAAAATCTAGGGACTCACCTCCTCCTAATTTCTTTTACCAGGGAGGTGTTGGGAAACAGGAAGTGATTAGAAGGGAGGAGTGAGAAATTCAGAGAGGCAGCAGGACAGTTAAAAAGCACGAAGAGGTCTAGTGTTGCTCAGGCCCTGTGCTACACACACCCTAACATAGGTGTGTCCAAATCACACACACACACACACATACATGGACACATATTCACAAACTTGCATATGGACGCAGATACACAAATCAATACATGCATGTTTTGCTCATAGAAATTCCCATACATGCATTCATATAGATACACTCACATACATCCTCATACATATTCACATATACTCATACATATGCACTTACACAAATATACTGATACTCATACAACACTCAACCCATGCATGCTCTCACATACACACATGAACATGGCATCTTACATGCATGTACATATACATTATCACATGTATGTGTGGGCACACACCATACACACCACACACATATGTATTCACACATACACGTATTGTCACTCTTTCAAGGGTGTTGGCAGCGCTGCACCTCATTGGAGGACATGGGACTTCCTACAGCAGAGAAAGAAGACTCCTTGAGGAGCATTGAGATCTTTCCCCCTTGCCTTATCTAGGTTTCTCTGTTCTTAACTCGGAGACATCAGCAAGGTCAGTGGAAAGTCCAGGGCAGGAGAACCATGTGGGCCTCTCTGGAGCTGAGAAGAGGTGACAGCAACTCTTTTTGCACTGAGCCTTCCACGTGTACAACGTTCTCAGAACTGGAGAGTTACCCAGACACACAGATCTTGAAGGGCTGGACCAAGCTTTCTGAACCACAGGCTTTTCCTAAGACCAGCCACAAAACCTAGACTCAGGTCTCAGCTGTAGGAGGCACAGCTCAGAGCCCTGATGCAACTTTGAATATGCAGTATATTCTGCCACACATGAGTGTGTTTGGGGCACACACAAACATGGCAGTGTCCGTCAGGGCACCTGCTTTGTGCTCAGAGGATCTGTGTCTCTTAAACTCATAGCATGATGTGTAGCTCCACCTTTGCAGGTTCTGATAGCAGTCAGCTGAGTTCCTGGGAATTCTTTCTAACTGGCCACAAAAGCCTGCTCTGTTCTGTTTCTTTCTCCTTGACGTACTCGTTTCCAAGGCCGTGATTATGAGGTTCCAGCCAAGCTGAAACATTCTTAAGTATTTTTCTTTCTCTTCATGAAAGGGTGGCTGGAAACATCCATGGTTTGTCATTGTCCCCATGAACTCCCAGGCCACAGACTCCATCATACCAGACGTGCTATCATGCTGAACAGACCATGGGCTCCCTGTCCCTAGTGCTTCCTGGTCTAAGTATCCCAAACTTCCAGAGAACCCTGGAGGCTACTTGGGTTTCCTCTACCTTGAGAGGGCAGAGCATGAGCAGTGTGGACAGGAAAGGTGAGCAGAACCAAAAATAGAGGTGGGAAGATGGCTGGAGTTATGAGTGTGAGACTGTAAGACTGAATATGTATGAAAGTTGATGGGAGAGTGCATGTGCCAGTGTGTGCAAGTATTGTGACTATTGGACTGTGTGAATGTGTGTGTACTGCCCTAATGTGTGCATGTATGACTATGAGGAGGGTGAATGAGAAAGAGCATGGGCAGGAGGGTGTGTGCATGAGCTTGGTGTGCCTAGATTTGTGCATAGTTTCAGTTTCCACTGGGGCTGAAGACTCCACAATTAGTTTTCCAGGCAGAGTTTATCTTCCTTCATCCCACTTTTGGAGGAATAACTTAGTGTTTGAGGATTAGTAGAAATATGGAGTATGGGCTGATGGGACAGATAAGGATTCACAGACATTTGGGAATGATTTATGGAGAAGGTTGAGGGTTTATTCTTCTTGCTTCCCTGTT